TCCCTCTAATGAATTAGGGAGGTTGATGTTTTTAACCTTGTGAGTGGACCCCACTTTAGGGATGACTAAGCCATTAAACTCACAACTTTTTCCACCTTGAAATGTGACTTAAGAGTCACTCATTTGGGCTGCCACATTAAGGGGTGATGCCCCCCTTAATCTTATCCAAACATTCTATTTACAGTTTAATCTCCCACTTAAAAATCCATAATTACCCAATTATCCCCACAATTAAGAATTATCTCAAATTACATAAAATACTACTCACTTTTAACACACTTTATACATCTTACTATTATGGTCATGTGGTACCTTGTATGGCATTAGTCCATAATTACGGGGTATTATAGCTTGGACCATATTTTATCTCAAAATGACAACCTTCAACGAAACTCTTTTTCTTTGATTCGTTTACCCTCTAACCTTCACGAATTTACTTATCACTTGTTTGAAGTAGTATAATACTTATAATCTCCAAATAATCTTGTCCTTGAAATGAGGTCAATTATCTTACGACAATATCAACGTACAATACTACAGGGTGTAACATTGTCGTAATATAATACTGCGGAGTGTAACATCGACGTAATAATGAAGGGCGTAACATCATCGTAATATAATACTGCGAGGCGTAACTACACAATTTTAAATGTGAGGTGAGAGACTGTCTGAGATATTATTTGTGCTATTTTACTTGTGCTAGTTTATTTGGAATTCTTTATTTTTTAAATACAAAAAAAAATTAGGTAGAAATAATCCCACTTATTTTTTCTTTTGGCCATGGTTCTTTTCCAAGGTATGACTCTTTCTTTGAATTGAGTGAGTTTCGGTAGAGTTTTCAAATTTTTCAAAAAATCAAATGGACTTTGCCCGACGATGAACTTCCTAGACAGTTTTCTTGAGATTTTTAAGTCTAAAGAAAAATACCAAAATAAATTCTTCTTCTTTTTAAACTGATAATGGAATGGGGAGAAGTTGAGTATCTATGCTTTATGACATGTTTTATGTCGGGACTTAGAACTGGAGCATTTGCGCTGAGTACTTTCTTCTTGATTCTTGTGACTATATGCCTTGAGAGTATATGTGACTTATTTTGACACTTGGGCTCATCTTTTGACTCTTATTATATACATCCTATGTGATTGAATTATATTATGATTGTGCTTAGTTGCTTTAACTTGATAGTCGAGTCTGAGTCGTCCTGAGTAAGTCATGTGCATTGTGTGAGGTGAGATATTTGGTTGTACTCTGTGTCATCCCATGCTAGTCTAGAACTTGCCCCGTGTTTGAGTTGAAGCGAAATAAGTAAGTTTTGTGAGTTTAGAAAATGATATACGTATTTCTTTGTTTGACCTCTAATCTACTTGCCTACCAGTGATAAAATTATCCTTTGTTAGTCCATTTGAGCCTGTAACATTTTCTTTGGTATCCACATTACAAGACGAATCCTGAATCCCCTTTGTTCTTAATTAAATCTTGTTGAACCTTTACCTCCAAAAGCACTTAATTAAATCTTGGGAGCTCGTCTATTCTCGCGCATGGCACAAAAATAGACGCGGAAAATGATATAATTGAATGCAAAAAATAATGAAACGACACGAAGGCACGGATCGCTTTGCGAAATAGAAAATTGCAAAACCTGAGTCCGCGTCTATGGGCACGCGACGGGCAAACATGGACACGGATTCCAGCTTTCCTATCCGAGATTGAATTGCGTTGGAGGGACCTTCACCCTATCTAGGCCATATAAATACACTCTAAACATGGTTTTTAGAGAATTTTGGAGGGAGAATCACTACTTTAGTGTTAGACAACACTTTTGGAGAAAAGAATATGCTAGGAGCAAGGAGGAAGATTCACTAACGAGTTTTTTTTTTCTTCTTCCTATTTTCTATTGTTGGTTATGAATTTTAGTATTGTATTTCTATATAATATTATGAGTAGATAATTTATTATCTAGAGTTTTGATGGAACCTTTTGTAGGATAAAATCTTATTATGTTTTTATATAATTGAGTCGTTGGATTTCTCTACATGTTCAACTACGTATTCGTTGTTGTTGATTGAATGTCCATAAATTGACTATGCCTATTTATTATGTATTGTTTGAAAATGGTACATATTTAGGTGATTGTTGAACAACGTCACTCCTAACGTATGTGAGGAATCAATACAGCAGATTTAAAGGTGGTATTAGGAATAACAAAGCAATGACGTGATCATAGTGAGCGGTAAGATAGAGCCAACTAGCGTAATTCGGGAGAATATGTCTAGTAAATTATTGTAGTTGCTCGGGAGAGAATTACTACACCCGAAGTGCTCACGATCGATAGAGAATACTTAGGCGAAATTATAGGAGATGTAGCGAGAAGGATTCCGACAATTGGTAAAATCATAACTCTAGGCCTCCTTAATCTTGTCTCCAACCCTTAGTATCTCTAGTTGTTAACTTACTACTTTAATTTGTTAGTTAATTAGTTAGACAAAAGAATATTAATATTTATAACTTAAAAATTGTTCGAGCTTGTTTTCTTAGAGATAGTGAACTGTTGTAGCTAAACCTTAGTTCTCTGTGGGATACGATTCCAAAGTCTTAGACCAGATTATATTTGTAGCGACCACTTATCCTTTTTAGGACTAAAGTTGAACGTAATTACTTCTCTTAATCAGTGTTCTCGAATTTGGATTTTAAAAATGAAAAATTTCTAGTGAGACACGCTTCCCCTTTATTGCCTCTACACAATGCAAATATGGATTGACTAGCCCGTGGATTCCGAATATCAAACATACCAATCAAAAAGGAGATCTTTGGCAAATACCCATGGGGCGGAAAGTATTTACCCGCCCCTACCCACTTTGTTTTCCCTAACCCATTTTTTTAATACCCAGCCAAATAAAGTCAAACTAAGTTTCTATAAACCAAGCCAATTCAAGCCAAAACAAAGCCAAACCAAGTCAAATCAAGCTAAGCTAAGCCAAATGGGTAAAAAGAGTTGGGATGGGTGGGTAGGTAGGGGTAATTAGTTTTAATTGGGTAGGTATATATTGTAAAGAAGAATTAACTCAAATAGCCACTCATCTAACCACTTAAACTAAAAATAGCTAGTGGAAGTATAATATATGCATAATTTATGTATTATATATGTATAATTATGTATAATCAATGTATATGGTTAGAAAAGGTAAATAATGAATATGGCCGGCTATTTGTATACAAATTCCTATTGTAAATAATTTTAAAATGGATAGGAGAGGGTGATTATTTTAAGATTAATAGGTATTTTGCATATAATGCTCAATCGAAAAAGGATGGTCTTCAAAGTAGGGATGCCTTCCTTCCCCAGTGCTACCTGGTTCGGTTCACATCTTTAACTTTTTCCCCACTAAAAACCGTCGTTGGTTAGAGTAAATTTTCTTATACTCATTAATAAATTAAATATTTTTTATTCACCTTTTTCTCTATGTTTACAATCTATCCCCGTTTGCCTTGCTAACTCGATCTTTCTTCTATATTCAATTAACCTAATTAAATATATTTCGTTAATTTTTTCTCTCACTTACTTCTGCCATGTTTCGATCTCATTGCCCCACTGCAACCGTGTGAAGAGTCACCCCTAGTCATGAATTAAAGTCTTCGACCCAAAATTATTTTTAAGGTCTATTAGATTCTGACAAATAAGGTCTACCAAATAATTTTTTGTTTCTTAATGCTTTTAGGCTTCTCAAGGGATTACAATTCCTTCAACCACTTGTGCTAAGTGTTCACCTCTCCTTTTCCTTATCTTCTTCTTTTGCTTTTGCTTATCTTTTATTCTTTTTCTTTTTAATTTCTTTTTTGTGATCCAAAACGAGATGGGGCTTACTGCATGATGTGCATCTCGTACCCAGCTAGAGTTTTTTTAAGTTACTACAAAAGAATATGACATAATCAACAGTCATAATATTTCACTATTTGAAGCATTATTGAATGGAATTTGGCTAAATGAATCAATCAGTTAAGCTGTCTACTTCCAATTATTTCATCTCTCACCCCAATCTTAAAATGATTGAATTTTCTTGAGTAGCATCTCATCATTAGAATAAAGGGTCACCAGGATTATTATATTTTTTGGTTTTTCATCATATATTTAGTATCCGTTTTTGGACCCGACTAATCTTAATTCGTATCGCAAAGTCCTACTTTAAAGCGTAAAACGCTCCCTCCTAGAGATGATTACATACTCAAGGCTTGAAGTTGAGACCTCTTATTAATGACGGAGATATACTTATTAATCCACCACAACGTTTGATGGTCACCGGGATTTGTTAATCTTCCAATAGATACAATTTGAGGGACCTCTAGATATACATCATTAAGTTTGTTTTGATTCATATAACTTTCTTTCATTCTCATATCTCATGATTTCTAATGAGATCAGGACTTGTGATGGTTCATTCTTTTTTCTTTTCTTTTTTTTAATTGGATGGGATCTGACATTCCTCAATCTTGCTTTAGACATTGTACTGAAGCTGTTAAAGGATCCTAGTCTTTGGACATTCATATACCCCAATTTTATTTGTAGGGTACACATTGACACTTATTTTTGAAATCTAGAAATATACAGACAATTTTACATCACTAACTGATACATACCCCCTCCACTTTCAAATATTAGTCCTATTGGCAATATAAATTTGTTTCAAAATATTAGACATTTCAGAAAATCTGGAAGTATTTAGTTGGTTCATTAGAACCATATAAAGCAACTTTTTCGAACTTTATCCTAATTGGTTCAATTTGTCGAGTGTTGATTAAGAAAAGACGTTTAAAAAGAGAGAAATGATAGTTTTACACAAATATTCAAAAGGCAAAATGTAAAGCATAAATAACCGGTCGGATTCACTAATTTACTTTTTTTAATAAATATATGTAGATTATATACTGATTATAGATGATTATACAGATATTGTATATCGATTATAGATGTATTATACATAAGATAAAGAACTCAAAGCTCAACCTTTAATTTTAACAGCATAAATGTATTTTCTTCATAACACTACCTTTTTTGGAATAATTACTTAGAATAGAGAAAGTAAAAAAGAAGAAAAGATTGTTGAAATACAAACAAAGGGTTTACCAGTAAGGAAGTTTAAAATACACTTAATTATCTGCTACATATTATTGGGATGGTGTCAAATGCGTATATTAATTTTCTTAGGCAGATGATCATAAGTAGGTCAAAGAGGCCAAGATGTTTGAAACTGAGGAACTCCTCCATATCCTTCACCAACAATCTTCCCCATTCCTTGAGCTGCATACCCGTTTGTTCCCTACGTACAAATTTCATTTCTAATTAATGTCAATAGAGGCATCAAATTGATGGAAAATGTCAAAAGATTCTACAATATATAAATGTTTGTGTGTGTATGTGTAATGTAATGTATATACACCGGATAAAGTAGCTTAAATTTCAAGGTAATTCTAACCTCTTACAATTTATTTGACACTCGAATATACAACAAATGAAAATTGGATATACTTACTGGTGGCAAAATGAATTTAAAAAAAACGTTATCTATTCATATTATCTAGTAAAAAATAGGTTGGACAATGAATTTTTTAAAAATGGTTTCAATATGGATAATTTATATTATCCATTTAACCGATGGATAACCAATGAGTGATCACATTCAAGAACCCGTGGATAATATGAATATTCATATCATCAGCCGGTTAACCCATTTTCTATCCGTATTAAATATAGATCGGGTTAAATATTTATCTATTTTTGCATTACCCATTTTCGACCTACTGCCCATTTGCCACCCCTACATGTGCTTACACATCAACTACTAATGAGACTATTATACTTCTCTAGATAAACTTTTCTCTCATTTCATAGGGAGGAGTGCATTAATTTTCAGTAGTTCTACCTATAAAAAAGAACAGTGAAGGGAACGAAAAAAGGTGTACCTGCATTGAGTCCATATCATCCATCTCTGATGAGTTGAAGTCATAAAACAAACTTGCTGCTGATAGTTTCATTGAAAGAAACTTAAAACAGAAAATTCAACAAAAAACAAAAGAATATTAGATATAAGTAGGCCATTAACTATTATTCTAGACCTAGTGTAGCAATATGTAATAAGATCATAGTATGTCTATTATCTTACATCAATTTGATTTTGCAATGAGCGGACATAGTTGATTATTACATCCAACATCACTGCCATTCCCATAGTCTGCAAGAAGGATTTTAATTTGATTATTTACTACTATACAAGAATGATGATTTAAGGAAACCATAATACTAACTAACTTTTATATATATATATATATATATATATTTGCAATAATTGCTCAAGAAAGATTTTGATTGCTTAGAAATGCAATTAGAAAGCACATATATATAATTACTAACCTTGTAACATCCAGGAACCAGTTCTTGCAAGCATCTAAGCTTTTCATTAATTTTCTCCCTTCGAAGCTAGGACACAACCAAGAAATTAATTACTCAAGATCATGATTTTACAAGTCTTTGTATTTTATATATAGAATTTTCTAGTGATAAATACATGAAATAAATTGAAATATTATAACACTATATATTGAATATAAAGAAGACTTACTCTTTCTGCCAAACTATGACTATCAGTAGCTTGGCCTCTCTTTGCTCTAACATGAACAACTTCTCTTGGCTTCTCAGCTTCTTTCTGATTATTTCTTTTCCTCTTTCTCCCTTCACAGTTCTATATATCACCAAGAAATATGACACAATTCTTATAAAACACAAAGAATAAAAGAGAAGAAGAATTAACATGCCCACCCAACTATTCAAACTAAATATAACCAGCAAATTAAATGTATAATATATGTATAACTATGTATAATCTAGAAAAAATAAATAGTAAATCCGGTGGGCTATCTGTTTAAAGGTCTAAAGAAAAGAAGCACATAAGTATTTATATTGACCTTGGCAGTTCCAGACACTAGAGGTGGAGGATTTGGAATATTATTATTCAGTATGGACTCTGATTCAGGAATTGAATTCATATTGCTACTGCAGCCATAACTACTTGGACCTCCCAAGGTAAAAAACTGAGCAGCAGCAGCTGGATCATATATATTCTGAGCAGAAATGGAACTTGAGAGATTCATATCAGTATGAAAAGCCATGTTTGGAAGCTGATGAATATTTTGAGAATGATGATTAGAAAAGTCTTCATTTGACAAAGCCAAAAACCCATGTTGGTTAATATTTGAGCTGAAATTCTCAGCTTCAAGGTTTATACTATTTAGGAGTTCCATATTATTTGAGTTCATAAAATGGGAAGAAGAAGAATTCAAAGCCTGAAAACGATCTGCAGCAGAATGATCACCCATCTACTGTATATGATAGGATAGGTAATGCAAAAGAACAAATGTGAGGGTACTAGTTTCTGTGCAAGGTTTTAAATACTACTCCCCACCTCTATTTTATGTGGTGATATTTGATCGAACACATAATGTAAGAAATAAATAAGGAAATTTTGTTACGCGTCTCATGCGACACCCTTTTCTTTAGTTTTTCCCAAAACAGAATGATATTTTTAAACTTTTTATTTTATCATTAATATGATGATTTATAGTCATATAACTTTATATGACTTGTTTTAAATCGCAAATTTTAAAAAAATAATTATATTCTTAAATGATGTACCTAGTTAAATATTATCATGAGACGGAGAAAATAAGAGATGAGTTAAGCTTACTTATCAAAATGACCCTTACTATCAACAATTAAATAAGAGGTGTTGAGGGTTCCACATGTTCTCCATATCCTCACTTTCCATAAAAAGGTGAACTTTTGTATGTCAATTGATCCTACAAGCCATGTCATTTAGGATAAATTGAGGATATTATGATCAAATAATTTTTAAATATAATAATTTATTTTGGACAAATTGAAAAGGGAAATGGGTTAAATTACAGTGGGATGGAGGGAGTAATATTTAGATAGGAATTTACCCTCACATGATACTTACATCAATCATGTTAACTTATCCATAATTAAGTAATTTAATAAACGAGGTAGACATAATATCGTAAATCACAATAAAAATTAGTATTATAAGGCGAAACTTGAGGGGATCGGTTTCTGAGATTATCTCTATAAATTTTTTATCATAATATTTGTTCTTCAAACTATGGCAAGCAATTTAATGTATATTTCGATAATTGGAGGAAATCGACTTGATTTTTGGGGAAATATAAAAGGAGACTCGTGGATGTAATCTCTTGATAGGTCCACTTCCATTTGATATATCAAGTAAATGGGACCATTACTCACCTTTGATTGAGTATGATCCAAATTGAGAATATCATTGAAGTCTTTTAATGGTTTGGCATTGAGTTGTTGGAAATGACAAGAGTGTACATTCCCATTGACCGCTTTAATCTTTCCACCTCGTACTAGTTATATCACAGATTGATAAAGATAATGATAATAATATCCTGCGTCATCGAGAAAATGATATAGTACTTGATCATGCATTATTGGTATAATTGAATTCAGAATTTAAAGTTTATAAAATTTAAATTTAAAATTTATGAATTTTAAAATTTATTATATGTACGAATTTAGTAAGTTTCTCAACAAAATTACAAAATTTATCCAAAAATTATTAGGACTTCCCATGCATGCTAGCTCTACCCCTTACTATTCATATTAGTGGATAATAATAATTGTTTTACAGTAATTGAAGTCAAAGTTAGTTTTGGCTTGGATCAACAAACCTAGTTGGATGAAAACCAAAATAGCTTGAGGGATAATATTTTTAAATTCTCCATTAATATTTATCACATAAATATATCTTTAATTATCTTAAATTATAGTTGTTCATAAACATACCTTTTTATCCAAAATTTACTATACCAAGTTAGTTACTATTTTTATCGAATTCTCAACTAATATTTTATCACAAAAATATATCTATAATTATTTTGTAAGTGGTAATTATTATGTAAATATATTCGAATATGTAGCATATACTATCTTTTAAGATTTAAGGTACTAAAGTACGATATTGACAAGTGTGATAGGAACTCCACAAGTACTTGGTGACAATCATATACATTCCTATCAGCATTTTCATCATCATACCCAAGATCCACTTATTTTCGTCTGTCATTTTCAAGTCCTAATTAAAGCTAGGATTTTCAAAAAGTCACTCTTTTTTTGGCTACTTTATTAACGAATTTCCAGAAGTATAAAGGATGCATGAAATTTACTGATGCAGAGAAAAAACGAAAAAGGAGTAGTAGACAATCAAGAGTTTCCGTTCTGGTCATTTGTGTACAATTGGAACTTGACTGAAACTGTACCAACGTATGTTGGTCCATACCTTTTCATAGGACCACAAACAGGGCACAGAGTCTTGGACATGAAAACATGGCAAGGTTTATACCCCTTATTCAGCAGTTTATAACGTTAGAACTATGTGAAAATCATGTACTAATAAAACTGAAACTAACATTTTTCAAAATTGCAGTGCACGGATAAGTTTGCGTACATTTCGACCATTTCATAAAATACTTACTATCTTCCACCAGTATAGGTATCAGATAATTCTGTTCACCAAGATTTTCCTGTGGATGGAAAAACAAATATCAAGAGAATCACGGGGCATATCCAAATAAGGAACAAAATATGATGATACATAGGAATAGGTAAACCCCGGATCAAACAACACAAAAGCATCTCTATGACAAACTGAAACCATACATGTAATCACAGAATCTAAAGCCACCACCTCGGGCCTACCTGGAAAAGCATATCAACGAGCCTACCCACAACTAACTTGGCCCCTCCTCTAGGACGACCTTTGGCTGCATAACCTTCCCCTGTAACTAACTGGGCCGGCGATGAAGCAACTGGTGCAGGGACCACAGACTTAGAAATAGGAGTTGCTCCTCTAGCAAGTCTAGGGCAATGCCTCCTCACATGGCCGAACTCTCCATATTCAAAGCAACCCAATGTATGGGTCAAAAATTATCTTTGGTATGACCAAACCATATTAGCTTTGATGAGGCCCTCACAGACTGTCACGTGTCATCAGTACAACTTCAACAAAGACCCGCCTAAGGTCGAAGTGATCCCTGAAGTGATGAAGGGTGCGGTCTAAGAGTCAGCGAAGATCAAGGTCGAGAAGTCGTCATAAATTAAGGTGGAGGTCGAGCATCTTGGGCAGCATTATAATGACTAGTTTTAGGATAGGACACAAAAGAGAATATTCTAGTGAATATTCTCTGTACCTATACTAATTAAGATTTTTAGAAATATGTACCCTATAAATAGAAAAAGACACAATAATAGGGGACATGGGATATTCACTTGTCAGAAAACACATTGACGTTATAGAGAGAATCTGGCTATATTGCAAGCTTGCGAAAATAACCTTTTTATTAAGATTCTTGTCTAACTTTTTCACTTGATCCAAAAATAACCTGAGTGTTCAAAGGCTCATCAATCATTCATCATTGTCGGAAAAAATATCCACATATCACACCCTTTTTCGGGTGACTCGCATATTTTTATTTACTTAAATGACATTCATTGCTACTTATTATATTTTAATGTTATCTTCCATCATTTTGGATCATTGAATATTGTTATTATTGCTTATATTTATTGCCATTCGATCAAATATACATACTATCTGCCATAAAATCGATAACATTGTCTTTCGGATATTAATATTAATTAAAATTGACTTTATTTTACTTAAATTTAATTGATTGAACCCATATCTAAATTTTTGGGTTAAACACCTGATGTAGATGAGAAGAAATTGTGTATATCATTTTTGTCTACTTTAGTGTGAACTTTGCTCTCTACTTATATTCACCAATTTCATTACTTAAACCTTCCCCAGTGTTAAGTAAAATTTTCACCATTGATACCACTAACATTGGCTAATAAACATCAATTTTTCAGTACAACACAAAATGCTTTTAGCAACAATAACTTAACGCAATGAATTAGTTATTGGTAATTTAGTTGCCTAAACTTAAATATTATCGATGAACATTGGTGTATACGGGTAAAATCGAGCTCATGGTGCATCCTAACCTTCGATAAGATAAGTCGGGCTCGAGATATAGCAATAAGGGACCGAAATCGAGCCAAAGTCACGTCGGGCTATAACCCTGGGGCATGACGCCTGCCTTCGAGAATATCGAGGCCATGATCCCGGAATCGGTCCTAGCCTCGAACGACTTCAAAGAACATTGTCAGACAATCCAGCATAGCCAACAGAAGGCCAAAATATCCGTGACCGGCCGAATATTACGGCGAAAATCTCGGCACATATCGATAAGGAACTGACAATTAGCGAATCAAAAGATTTTTTTACCTTTTATAGAGTTGTACCTAAAATAGGACTCCCCTACTATATAAAGGGGGTCTAATAAGTCATTTGACACATTGTAACATGCACTCAAAAGCAATACATCATTATTTTCTCTGTCTTTAAGTTCTTGTTCATTTTTTATCGACACCGGTCGTGGTGAGCCCGGCTCGAGAGCGATTATACCATCAAAGCTGAAACAATCCAATTCGTGTATTTTGAATTTATTTTATCTTTATTTATTCACTTGCAACTTAATTTATCGCTTTGTATCAAGTTAATCCACGTATCCTTAAACCACTTACAAATTTAATTGTTATCCGATTTTGAGGGTAAATAGTTTGGTGCCTACCGTGGGGTTAAGGATAATAGCAGCGATTTGATACAAATTTCCATAACACGCCCTATTTTATACTTGTTCTTTGAAGTTTCTTTGATTCCAGGTTAAAATCGAAATGCCAAACCCACAATCTGCCCCTCTAAACACATATGTGGAGTCCAGCCATCATAGCGAGAACAACAATGCAGTACCCGGTAACGAGGTGCCCCGAGTCGATCTCGACGGAGTTCCGGTGGCAGACCCCATCGACGCCAGTTCGCATTTGGCCATCAACATAAATTTGCCTACCGACCCCGAGAACAACGTACGCGGGGAAGTCTGATCAATTGCCTAGAATACTTGCAGCGGCGAAAATGATGTATCAACTTGCGAATCATCGAAATGTAATAGGCTCAACATGCAGCGATAGCCCAGTTGCAGAACCAAAGCCGAGCGCCGATAAGGGTTGAGCCCGAGCCATCCCGGGAAGTCACCCACAGAAATGAACCGATCACGGAGAGGCCGAATGAAAATGAATCGAGGTCTAATCCCGAGATCATAAAATGCTTGAGGAATTGACAAAACGGATAGAATCGGGGGAGAAGAAAATCGAAGCCAATGACAAAAAGGTGGAAACCTACAATTCTAGGGTTGATCAAATCCCAGGAGCACATCTAAGAAGGGCCTGGATTCCAAGAAGTTTGTTGAAAAACGTTTTCCTCTGAGCGC